GGAAAAGCCTTTCCGATCCTTATCCACATGATGCAAGTTTTGCACGAAAACTACAGGAAGGCGACCAATGGGCTAACCGAGCACATCACTGCCCTAACGGAGGAGTTGGACGCCCTTCGCACCTCCACTCTATCTCAGCCTGCTCCTACTACTGCCCCACCGGTACCTCCTGCTACCGACACAACGGAGCAGCCCTCTGTTCCTCCTGTGCCTCCTACCCTTCACCATGCCCAACCTCCTGGCCCGGCAGCCCCTCCTCTTTGGGCTACCGTCCCTAGGAGGGCAAGGAAGCCCTCCCAGAAACCCACAAAGCCTGGCCCGAAGCCGGCCAAACTCTCCTCTACCTCGTCTAAGCCCCTTACCGACAAGAAAAAGGGCCTTACCATGCGCGAGCGTCGGCTTATTATCAAACGAGACGCTGCCCTCCTTACCACCACAGCTGTGCAGCTACGCGACGGCATCAACCAGGCCTCGGCCTCTACTCTCATCCAGTCTGTCTCCTTTCGGGATGGACATGTTACCCTCACCACCATGGACACGGTTAGAGCAACAACTGTTAACAGCCAAGTTGGAACCTTTTTGCTCCTCATTCCTGCTGCCTCTACCATCCATCTTGACACTCTTGCCACCCAGCTTCTGGTGCATGGCATTGCTACCTCTACCTCTCTGGCGTCTCTTGCCCAAGAACTCACTACATTCAACTCAGGCTTATCTCTTACTGAACAACCTAGGTGGCTTACCTCTGATTTACCACGCATCGGCAAACTCGCCTCAACCGTAGTTATTTCCATCACTGGACCCAAGGCTCGCTCTTTTATTTGCAAACGCCTCTCTCCCTTCTCCAATACCTACCATACCAAGCGCCGTCTACACTTCAACAAATACACCCAGTTTGCAACCTGTCACAAGTTTGGCCAACACCGCATCAAATGCATCCTGCCCGCCTCCTGCCGCTAGTGCCTCCTCCCTTACTCCACTGGGGATCACTCCTGCCCCACCGCTACCTGTCGCCTTCGAGGCCGTCACTGCAGTCATACTATGCCCAGGTGTGTGAACTGTGATGCCCCACATGAATCCCACTCATCTGTTTGCCCTTCTCGCTCCCGTCCAGCTACCCAAGAGTTTGAGGATGCGGAGGAACGTGAAGAAGAGGTGGACATGGTTGGCTCTATGTAGGTTGCGATACCTAGCAAGATATTGCCCTAGGGGTGTCCTAGGTTGGCTATTACGGTGCAAGGGGTGGGCTTTATGCCTGCCTCGACTGATTGCTTAGGGGAGACTGGCTTTGTACCGCACCTCTGTCATGGCCCGTTTGAGGGTCAGTGCTGGAACGTTTTCTTGGGTGCCGGGTGGGGTTGATGATGGTAGATTTACTTTATTATGATTCTTATGAGGATCTTTGGCGCGAGATCGGACTGCCGATGGTAGTGATTTTTTCATTGTGCTGGGATTCATGTGGCCTGGCTAGGTGGGACGGGTGGGTGCTGGACTGTTGATGGGCTTGTACTTTAGCTTTGGTGTTGGTGCTCGCTCACCTGAGTGGTTAACGGTATGGGGCCGAAGCATCGGTATCTTGTATTTAGTTGCCTGTATTTTCTGGGGGTAGCAGGGCCCCAGTCCCAGCGGTGGATCCAGACCTGCATTAAGCTCCTGTCCGGGGGGCGCTCGATCATCAGCCATGTTTTGGCGCGACGAGTATAAATAAACTTAGATTGAATTCGGACACCCTTTCTTACGTTCCAGGAAATTATCTTATCCACCAGGATACCTTTCTTTGGCCCGTCAGGTGTCAAAGTTTCTCCTCATCACTTCCATGGTGGGGTCTTCACCCCCTCTCGTTCTGCAACCTCATACCAAGCCTGACGGGGCCTCACAATCTTGTGGGCAGGGTCGCTTATTACCTATCTTTCGGCCTCAGGGCCCCCCCTTGCTTAAACGATCACGCAGTCGTACCACCTCAACTATACTAGTGCCAGACGCCTATGAAGGTGCTACTGGCATCTTCTTGAAGATGTTTGATGATCTGGCAGTGGCAGCCGGGATTGAAGATCTTCTCACCTTTGGAAAAGCCTTTCCCGTTATACTCCACATGATGCAAATTTTGCATGAAGACTACAGGAAGGCGACCGATGGGCTAACTGAGCACATCACCACCCTTACTGAGGAAATAGACACCCTTCGTGGCTTCGCTTTCTCTCAGACTGCTCCTACCACTGCCCTGCCAGCACACCCTACCCCCAACACTACAGAACAACCCTCTGTCCCTCCTCTACCTCCGACCCTTCCCCATGCCCAACCTCCTGGCCCGGCAGCCCCTCCTCTTTGGGCAACGGTTGCTAGGAGGGCAAGGAAGCCCTCTCAGAAACCCACAAAGCCTGGCCCGAAGCCAGCCAAACCCTCCTCTACCTCGGCTAAGCCCCTTACCGACAAGAAAAAGGGCCTCACCATGCGCGAGGGTCGGCCTATCATCAAACGAGATGCTGCCCCCCTTACCACTACTGCTGTGTAGCTACGCGACAGCGTCAATCAGGCCTTGGCCTCAACTCTCATCCACTCTGTCTCCTTTCGGGATGGACATGTTACCCTTACTACCATGGACACGGTTAGAGCAACAACTGGCAACAGCAAAGTTGGAACCTTTTTGCACCTCATTCCTGGTGCCTCTACCATCCACCTCAACACTCCTGCCACCCAGCTTCTGGTGCATGGCATTGCTACCTCTACCTCTCTGGCCTCTCTTGCCCAAGAACTCACTACATTCAACTCAGGCTTATCTCTTACTGAACAGCCTAGGTGGCTTACCTCTGATTTAGCACGCATTGGCAAACTCGCCTCAACCATGCTTATTTCCATCACTGGACCCAAGGCTCCCTCATTTATTGGCAAACACCTCTCTGCCTTCTCCAATACCTACCGTACCGAGCGCCGTCTACGCTTCAACCAGTACACCCAGTGTGCAAACTGTCACAAGTTTGGCCACCACAGCATAAAATGCATCCTTCCTGCCTCCTGCCGCTGGTGCCTCCTCCCTCACTCTACTGGGGATCACTCCTGCCCCACCGCTAACTGTCGCCTTCAAGGGCGTCCCTGCAGTCATACTATGCCCAGGTGTGTGAACTGTGATGGCCCACATGAATCCCACTCATCTGTTTGCCCTTCTCGCCCCCATCCAGCTACCCAAGAGTTTGAGGATGCGGAGGAACATGAAGAAGAGGTGGACATGGTTGGCTCTACATAGGTTAGGATACCTATAAGGATATTGCACTAGGGGTGTCCCGGGTTGGCTATTACCGTGCAAGGGGTGGGCTTTATGCCTGCCTCGACTGATTGCTTAGCGGAGACTGGCTTTGTACCGCCCCTCTGTCATGACCCTTTTGGGGGACAGTGCTGGAACGTTTTCCTGGGCGCCGGGTGGGGTTGATGATGGTGGATTTATTTTGTTATGATTTTTATGAGGCTTTTTGGCGCCAGATCGGACTGCCGATGGTAGTGATTTCTTGATTGTCCTGGGATTCCCGTGGCCTGGCTAGGTGGGACGGGTGGGTGCTGGACTGTTGATGGGCTTATACTTTAGCTTTGGTGTTGGTACTCGTTCACTGAAGTGGTTAACGGTATGGGGCCGGAGGATCGGTATCTTGTATTTAGTTGCCTGTATTTTGCCGGGGTAGCAGGGCCCCAGTCCCATTGGTGGATCCCGGCCGGCGTTAAGCTCCTGTCGAGGGGGTGCTCGATCATAAGCCATGTTTTGGCGCGACCAGGATAAATAAACTTAGATATTATTCGGACACCTGTACCTAGGAATTACACTCTCTACTATCTGGTGTCCTCTTGAACCCCTGAACCCCTGAACCCGAACCTCGCACAACTCGCTTTGGTTGTACCCCCATACCTAGACCTCGTCCCCGGATTCCTGCCTGTCCTGATCGTGGTGTGCCTTGGGATACCCGATCCTCAGACCCTGTCCGTTACAGTTAAGTGAGTACTTCTTCCACTCATATGTCTTCTCCCTGTTCTTCCACGGAAGTGGACTCGACTACTAGATGTGGTTACATGGGCAGACAATGCATTTGTTGTATTCACAGTACTACTGATGTTCATACTTGAGCTGACCTCAGCTTTCCGCGCTTGCCATGTGTTTTACCATTCCACTCTGGTTGAGATATAGTAGTTAGTAGCCTGCAGTTTAGGAGCCTGATGGATAATGATATCAACAATTGAATTATATTAAGCTGTAAGAGTCATAATCAGGTAGGATTGAAACATTTCATCAGAAATGGCCTGCTCTGAGCTAGCAAACATATTCTTACACTTCGTTAGTTTGGCAATATAGTCATCCAAACTGCTTCTCAGTTTCAGTCGAAGCTGGTTGAATTGCTGGTATATCGCAGTCCCTCCAGCCAGAGAATTTACGGTGTCTACTTTTCCCTTCAGCTTATTCCACATCAATAAAGTGTCTCTTATTGTGTCCACATAAGCTTTGACAGTCAAGCTACAGGAGGCATGAATCATAGCAGCAGCTTGTCTGAAACTTCTGCTGAAGTCTTCAGGATTGATAGAGCCTCTATCGTCTAGAACTTGATTTCCAAGGACAATATCCAGGGCTCCTTCAGCGTTCAGAAAGAATTCCATATCGCGTCGCCATTGGTGATAGTTCTGATGGGTGAGTTCAACAGTTTTACAGTACTCGCATTTGTATACCCCACTCCCTTGGGCTACACTCATGGTAGTAGTGGTGATCGAAGCTGACTCTGGTCTCTGATTTAAAAGGAACGTAAATGGTCGATGACAATTGGTTCGAGATAGGTATACCCAGAGGTGGATAGACTGTTGGATAATTGTTTTGTAGGTTGAGAATAGAAGCACTATTCCAGGCTCGTAACCTGTTGGAAAACGGTAGAGAAATAGAGGTCCTTGATAGGCAAAGAGATAATATCATTTGTCACACCCATCGCCCATGCTCATGCTCATGTCCCAGATACTAGGTAGTTAATTACCTTTATATACAAGTACTTCGGATCCCATAAAGCAGTCCTTCACCTCAATTCAGCTCATTTGGCTCGATCTACTATATCCATCTCATACCCTTCATTTCAGCATATCCTTCTTCTTTCACTCAGTTCCTATCTTCTCGCAACTCTTCCTTTCCTATCAGGAAGTCTTAGCACCGTGTCCTATGTCATACTGACAACAAGGTCATTTGTCCCGTTATCGAGTGACCTCACATGATACCATTGGCAAAGCCGTTCTGATACACACCACTTTCCACCCTTATTTCCTCTCCCTAGCACTCGCCAGCTATTTCCCCAGCCTACACCCCAGATATCCCGGTCTATTCCGTGACGTTTGCCCTTTAAACCCCATCTCTCCAATCTCCTGTGCCCAACGGAGACCGCCCACTAAATCATGTGCAGAAATTAAATTAAATCTAATGACTCCAGTAATTAGTCCATAGCTGTATCCCCATCACCACCAACTCCCTTCTCCTTTATCAAGCCGATCTCATTCAAGCCAAGCAACCACCTCTCCTTGATCGCCTCGTTAATGACAAGCCTGACACCTATCGCAGCCCTAATAGCCCCGTCAATGAGTCTCTCCGTTTCCTCGGTGCCGTCAGAGCTCGGGGACATCGATCCTTTTGTCCAGACTAAAGTGAGCTCATCCTTAGCAGCCATGTACCCTACGGCAGCTGCGGCAAGAATAACGTAGTCGCCGGCAGGACTAGGGTCTAGTACTAAAGTAACTTTTCTGGCATGTTCCCCGCGGGGCCTGGCACCACCACTATCCCCACCCTCACCAACACGGCCCACCTCGACATCCCCATCCCGCTCCAGCATCGCCCCGGCTACACCCCCAGCCACAAGATCGAAGCACTCGATGCCAGCATCTGCAATAGCAGCACTAGCGCAGCTAATTGCAGCCGCAAGCACGCCCATCAATCCCACCTCCACTCCTCCACCACCCTTCCCATCACCTGGATCTCCAAGACCGCCCTCACAGTCTAGCACACTAACGAAAACGTCAATCGCACTCTTGGGATATTTTCCAACATCTACGCTCTTCACTAGCGCAAGAGACAGTTGCGCGGAAAGATCGCGCTCTACGCCGTCACGAATGTACCCGCGACGACGGCCAGGAGTGGAAAAGGGCGAAAATTTGAGTTCCGCAGTCAGACGCGCGTTTGGGGAGAAGGCAGTTGCCGAAGGCAAGGGCCGGGGACCATAGACGCTTGCTGTGAGTTTTAGCGTGGGTGTTGAAGGGCTGGAGGGTGTTGGGAGTTCTAGGAAGGCGGAGCCCGTTGCGGGTGGTGTTAGGCTAGTTTTCAGAACTGGAGGAGCGAGAGATTGGTTAACTATCGATTGAAAAGAGGAAGGAGAGAAGGAGGAGACGAACAGATCTTTCGGAGAGTGGTTGGTGAACGTTTAATTACGGATTGATGTGTGAAGCCGGTGAGGAATTCTAGCGGTGTGGTTCCCTCTGGCGGACCGTTGATGCGTCGGCGATCCGTCATGGTGGTGATTGGTGGGAGCGAAGGCGGTGGAGTGAGAGCTCCGGCAGGCAGAGATTAAGAAAGCGGTAGTGTGGTGTTGGAGCCGCCGCTCGATGTCCGGAGTCGCAAGCAAGTCTGGCAGGTCCACACTTTCTATTTCGCAGGCAAACAAGTTCAAAATAAGGAGAAAAAAAATCAATGCCAAGTGAGGGGGTGTTCAGCAAACATGATTATGATTTCAAACAGGGATTTTCTGAATTCAGATCACATGTTTATACCAAAGGATCACATGTTTTTCCAACTCATGATTTGAACTCATATCCTGCAAAATACCAGTTAGATTGACTTTTACTTCTTTTCTATCTTTCCCTTTTAGTATATATATAATTTTATAACTCTACAGAGAATAAACAAAACTTATTCTGGACTGAATATTTAATATCTGTTTAAACTTCAGATGGATGCATTTAAGCTAAAAGGATAACAATTGGCAACAACCACAAAACTGGGTGAATGATCCTGAGATTAGAGTATATGGTAGAGTATCTTTCTAGCTTCTTGAATATATTTAATTTTAAAATTTGAGCAATGGTGGGTCTGTAATAATTATTTTTGTAATTATGGCAAAAATAGTTTTTTGATCTAGAATAATAGTCAACCTCAAGATCTACCTGTCTGCAAGTTTTGAAATATTTTTAAGAATACAATCTGTTGTTATTAAAAAGTATAGTAATATACCACTGTACATTACATACTTTCCAGACATTATTAATCTGTTGTGGGAGGAGAAAGTCCAACCAAGCTTGATGTCACAAACTGTGACTAAGCAAGGCAGATTTTACATAGCTCGTAATTCCGAGCTATAGGTATGTTGGGATTTCACATGACGCATACTAGTGCACCATATGTTATTATGTTTACCTGTTCGTGACTCACAGTTGTGAGTCACATGATGTTATGATGTTCACACATGACTCATACTTATGAGTCATGGGTTTCACTCAGGTGATGCGAGTTGCGCACATGACTTGGTTATTATAGTTTGATTGGGTTTAGGCATGTTGGGCAGTGACTCATAGGAGTCGGCTGATGGATTTCGCGTGACTCAAAGTTATGAGTCACAAGGTTCGCGTGACGCTTAAGTATGAGTCACGCCAGGTGAAGAGCTACTATGTAAAGGGTCACTAGAACCCCTAGTACTAGCTCTTCACACGTTCTTCTTGTTTATTTCCTACCTTCAAGTTATTATCAATAAAACCTACCTTTACGCTCTTTAAGATTTATCTTAAGAAACCCAAGAATTGTCTTTCCTCCTACGAGGAGAGATTGAGTCCTAAGCAAGGACTAAGGAGAAGAATAAGGAAATAGGCGCGAACAAGATAGTAGTCATAGGACTGGACTATCGAGATCACATAGGTATAGGCCTGAGAACTATCACCTTACATCAAGAGAAGTATCATTACCTATCGCTCGGTCCTACTCGGTAGGATTCTTAACACTTGAGATGATATATAGGTATACAATTGTACATTTAATATTAGAGCTAGATTGAATAATTAATACCAAAGTTAATAATTCTATTAATTATGCTTACTCAGTTATTATAACTTTCCTTAATATGTATTAATTTGGAATTCTCAAATTAAAATGTATTAATTAAATTATAACTGAAAATCTTTTACATAAAATTATAGAAACAATAAGGGGGTGTTTGGCCTACCAATTCTGATTTGAAATTGGGATTTGAGATCACATCTTGGTAACCTTAACTCAGATAATTACTTCTATTTACATGCAGCTAAAATATTAATAGTATAAATAATATATATCAAATTTGGCAAGATGTGAGCTGAAAGAACGATTTCAAATCAGATTTGGTGAGCCAAACACTCTCTAAGCATTATCTATCTTGCATTTTTGTACTATTTAATTTATTGGTTCTTGAGTTGTTTCAATTTCTTTGTCAATGTATGTTTTTCCATTTTTCTTAAGAAGGCTTTGATTGCTATACATACTAAAAGTAAGTATAACTCAAAACACCTAAAAAGCAATTGTACTCTTTTTTCTACAACAACATTCATATAGTATATATATGGTTGGGCAAAGCGCAATTATATAGTTTGCTACCCTTGTAAGTTCTCAAGTTTGCTGTCAAGGGTTATATATGGTAAAGCTGAAAGGTGGCTAAAAAGAAGAGGAAAATGCACTGTAACAGGACTAGCATATTTAGTCGGAATTTGTCCAGGGCTAGTGGAATAGTCACAAGAGGGATCTCGGCAAAGAAGTATGAAATCCATTGTTATCAACCAGTATTACTTGTATTTAGTTTTTTTATTGAAGATTTTAAGCTAGAGTTACTAAAATAGAGAAAGGGAGTAAGGAAAAAAGTAGGATCTACTAATATCAACTATGATATACATGAACTTATAGTTAGTCAGCCTTTAGAGTAAATAAATTTATTTTTCAATTTCTAATACATTGTATTTCTTTTAAATTGGATTCCAATTTTATTCTCAACATGGTTTAGTCTCACTTAAGTTAAGTTCTGTTTAATATATTATCATATAAATATGTTACAAGAAAAGTGTTATAATATTATACCATATATTTTGAAATAAATTTATAGTATATTATAGAAATACAGGTGTTTGTTTGAATAACTACAATATTACTATATATAGTAAAACAACTTATATTCTATTATAGCTAGTAGAAAATAAAGGTAAAAAAAGCAAAAAAAAAGTACTGTGCTAAAGACTAAGACTACCATCCTCTACCGTGATTTATAATGTACTTCATACTACTACTTAATTCCCCCAGTATAATAGTGTAAAACTGTTATTAAGAGTGTATAATTAAATAATAAAGCAATGTTATCTTAATAGAGTTTTCGATTTAATTAAATTTTTGATATAAATAGTTTCTTGGATATTTATTTTATAATAACATCAGCAAAAATTTGTTCTGTGTCAGATCCATGTGTCTCACATCCCGACGCAGCGTACTTGTCCCCTGCGTCTCCTGTGTCTCGTGGGTCCACTTCTCTTGCGCAACACCTCCCTGCGTCATCTGCGTCCGTCTTTTTACCCTGGCGATTCCCTCCATCTCGATGCAGATGCCAGCCACCCATATGTCGGGACCGGGTCCTGTTCCTGATCCAATCTTGTTATCGTCCTGATGCCGTGACCTGAGGTCAACGGCGGGATCAAGCTTTCTCCGTATCCTGGTGCTCTGTTCTTACTTCTTTCCTGATTGCTAGTTTCCAGTCACCATTACTACAATCTGTTAACTACCAATTTGATTTCCAGGCCTGGGATTCCTCATCTCTGATGGCCACCTCTCGGTTCTCAATTCCTCCATGTTTATCCCTGGTCAGCACGTCCGAGTCTACGGCGTCACCTTTCTGATGCCAAAATGAAAGTTTTGATGCCCTGGCTCCCATTGCGATGTCTATATCTTCTCCTGTCTCCAAGGTGATACCAGCTCCGACCAAGGCCCACGTCGCACATCATCACACCCTGTTCTTGGTTTACTAGTATGTGTTCTCTGGTTCTGAACACAATCTCATTCAACTTGAATCTTGTATCATTAATTTTTACTCAACTATGACGCAATTATTTCTTCCAACAGTTTGAGTTACTATGCAATGGCAGGGATTCCAATGCTCCCTGCTAGCCCTGTGGTGTATCCTGCCTTGCGATGCAGGATACACCACAGGGCCTCTATTGGTTCCCTCAGATGGGATCTCAATAGATCTCATTGAACATCCTTAAATCAATTCTACTATTCACCAGCCCTCGCCAGTCACTGGCTGGAACCAGGTGCGCCTGGCCCAGAATGCTCCCAATATCCACTATTGGAAACTGTTGTGCCTCTGTCCTCTGCTCTACTATGACGAGACTATGGGCATCAGATGGCTGTCTGGAATTAACTACACTTGTCATTTCTCCCATTGCGAGTCTGTAGACTCTATCCTGGTGCGTATAGTCCTGGATCTTGAACAGCGTCCTGAGTCTAGGGGGAAGACGTCCCCTGAGGGTACTACACATGTGCTCCCCTCTGGCCTGTACCCAAACCAAATCATTGCAACTCTGTTGCTTGGAGAAGAGCTGAGAACCCGTATACTGTGCCCAGCAGACGTCATAAACTTCAGTTTCCTGGAATGCGGGAATAGGGATTTCTATTTACGTCATCAGTTTAGTGGGAAGTAGTGGAAGTATTGTGGGATCATCGGGAAGTGAGTGATCCATTGGCAGGCTGCGATAGCTATACCGGATCAATTCATCACAAATGCTGGCAGTCGAAATTCCGACTGCCTTGCACTAATCCACGATGTTCGAAACATCACGCCGTCGTCCCTTTAGGATTCTGCGGCATGTGACAGACCCAGATGTAGTATCTTCTGCCTTGACCAGGTCAACAGCCTCCGGAGGTAGCTCTGCACCTTGATATCGAAGCGCGTAGAGGTTCAAGAGTCTCATGTATATCCCATGCTGTCCACTGTAGCTCTGTAGGATCTGGCATGCAGCGTTGATTTTGTTCGAACGCTGCCAGCGATCTTTGATTTGTTCCTTAGGTGCAAGCTCCCCAAACTCCATTGAATACATTTTAATGTGGCTGAACTGATATATGTGATTAGGAAAATGGCAGACCAGGTACATCTTAATGAAGTTAAAATGAGATTTTGCATGGATCAGTTCTAGGTGTAAGTCATTGTCCTCCCTACAATGTTCCTCCAGCCTCCGACGCTACTTGGATTTGGTAAGAGATTGATCTACACACCCCTATAGACATCCCTGCTCTCATGGTTGGTCTTTGACCTTTCCTGGTGTCCTGTTAGATATCTGAAACTTTAAGAAGGTATCCTTCATCGAATGAGAATGTGCAAGATATTGTTCTATAATTATAATCTATGGTCTCTGGAGTATGGCTATGGTATTGAGCAATAAAACTGAAATCGAGCAATAAGCGGACACAGATGAGCATATGTTTGAAAGGTGTTGCTTGCGTACTATCAGGCTGTCTGAGAGCCGCAGGGAGGACCTCCAAGAGGCAACGTCCTAGGTTTCTCATTTCCATTCCTTGTTACTGCATAACCTCACTGTAGGACTTTGGGGGGGCAAAGAATCCCTGATAGGGTAATAATGCACTCCAGGTGTTGCCAAAGCCCTGCTGTTATTATTATAATTATATCTCATTATCTCGCTTATGGAGCCAAAGGCTATGAAACAGCACTAC